TGTTTGAGACTCTTCTTGTTAGCCTCAGCTTCTTACATTGATCTGTTCTGACTCCCTGGGTTTATGGTGTGAACTTCTGTGGTATAATACCTGTGAATTTCAGTGATGCAGACTCCTTCAGGTATCTTGATATTCTCCATCTCAACCTACTCCCGCGCTGGTTCTTGTGCTGGTTCCTGCGCTGGTCGCCTACCACTGCTGAGTGTCCCGGCTCTCATAACTGACTCCCTGGCGCCTAGGCCCATTGCAATGGCAGTGGCACAGGGGCCGAGAGTGTCGGCTCCCATAGCTGACTCCTCTGGCACCCAGGCCTGTCACAGGGGCCGCGAGTGTCCCGGCTCCCGTAGCTGACTCCTCTGTGCCCAGGCCCTTCGCTATCCTTATTTCACTTTTTATAGTCTTCACTTTTCCCTATATTTTGCAACCATACTCAACCATTTCTGTGAGCATCCTGATTATCAGTGTTTTGAACTATGCATCTGAACTGTGAAGAGATAGGTAGGCAATCTCCTCATTGCTTAGTTGTATTTTTTCTGGAGCTTTGAACTGTTCTTTCATTTGATCCATATATCTTTTTTCTCAGCATGCCTGTTATGGCATGTAGTAAGGGGCAGAGCATTGGGTAGTCACCAGTGCCAGACAACCCATTGTTTTGTTTTTAAATTTGTTGCTGTCCTTCTTTCAGTTGTGTAAGGAAGCAAAGCATATTTACCTACACATCCATGTTGGCCAGAAGTCAAAATCCTAGCTTTGATCCCATCTGCATAGAGAGTTTACTTATTTTACCTAAGTAAATGCTACTCTCAGTTGAGCCACACAGTGTACTGTAAGTGTTTGTGCTTTCCTTTACTAGACTTTGTAATTATCCTTTCCCTGTCTTTTTAGTTTTCTATGTATTTATCACAATTTATACATTTTCTATGTATGTATTTTACCCCCAGCTTTCTCCCAGATATGTCATCTTTCCTTTCAGAATGTTCTTCATTCATTGGGAGTTCAATCACTTTCATTCTCAGGAAGAAATCTCCCTGATAAGGGTTATCTCCCTGATAAGCATAAGAGTTGCTGACCTGCAATATATCAACTGGTATCTTCTATTTCTTAGGCACACTTGTCATCTTGGGATGTCCTTCACAGCCATGCTGAACATCCCTTTTTCCTCCTCTTTGTACTTACTACTCTTCCTGGACTAAAGTCTTTCTTTCTCTTGTTGTACTTCTGTTTTGGTCTAGCAAGTCTATAACTGCTTCCTGAGGAAAGGGTATGTAGGAGGTAAATGTTTGTGATAATTTGTGTGTCTAAACACATGTTCATTCACATTTGAGATCAGTTGGGCATAAGATTTCATTCTGAATATTTTGAAGACATTTACTCCACATTGACTTTTGGCATTGCTGTTGAGAAATCTGATACCATTCTAATTTTTGAGCCTTTGTATAAAATTTGTTTTTTCTCTCTGAAAGCTTTTATTCTCTTCTCCTTGTCCCAAGTATTTTGAAACTTTCTGACCATGTGTGTTAATGAAGACCTAAGTTTCATCCTTTATACTGTTCATTGGTTTATTCTCTACTTGTTCTTTCTAGGAGGCTTATGGGAATAATACTGTATTTTCAAAAATGTTTGTTACCTTTATACTGAAACAACAATTTGGGTAAAAAAAATCATTGTTTTCTTTTTTTAATTGTGGTAAAAAACACATAATATCAAATTTAATAACAACCATTTGAAGCATAAGGCTCAGTGGCATTAAGCTTATTCACATTGTTGCACAACATATCTGAGAACTTGCACAAAACTAGACTCTATACCTATTGAACACTATTATCCCTCCCTCTTCTTTCAATCCTATCTACTTCGTTTCAATGATTTTGACTTGTTCAGATACTTCATATGAGTGGAATCATACAGTATTTTTCTTTTTGTGACTGGCTTATTTTGTTTAGCCTAATGTCCTTGAGATCCACCCATAGGAGTGACAGAAATCCCTTTTTAAAGGCTACATGATATTCCTTCATATATATTTACTACGTTTGATTTATCTGTTCATCTGTCAGTGGGCATTTGAATTTATCTCACTTATTGGCTATTGTGAATAATGCTGCAATGAACATGGGTGTATAACTATCAGTTTGAGAGCCTGCTTTGAATTTCTTTGGATCATAAGGTAGTTTTATTTTTATAAAGATTTTAATTATTTTTAAAGAGAGGGAAAAGGAGGGTGAAAGACAGGGAGAGAAACATCAGTGTGTGATTGCCTCTTGTGTGCCTCCCTACTGGGGACCTGGCTTGCAACTCAGGCATGTGCCCTAACTGGAATCAAACCAGCAACCCTGTGGTTCACAGGTGGGCACTCAATCCACTCAGTCACACCAGCCAGGGCAAGGTAATTTTATTTTTAATTATTTGAAAATCCTCTATACTGTGTGCCCCAGTAACTGTACCAATTTGCATTTCCATCAGCAATGCGCAAGTGTTTAAATTTTTCCACATCCCCATCAACATTTGTTTTCTGTTCTTCTGACAGTAGCAATGGGTGCATTCTAATGGGCACATTGCTCTTTTCTTGAGGTCTTTGTAGCAGTTATTTGGACCTCACATAGGATTTGAACTTGTCCTAAGTTTTCTCCTTATAAGTGAACTTACCTTTCTGTCTGTCTACCCCTCCTCCTAAATTATTTCTTTGTTTCTGAAGTTCAATAACCTTTACTAGTAAATATCCTAGAGTTTATTTTTCTTTGTCATTATTTCCTGGTACCTGGTGTGTTTTCAATCTGTAACTTCAAGGTTTCTTTAATTTCTTGAAAGTTGTTTTAAATTGTGTCTTTAAATAATCTTTCTCTCAAATAACCTATGCACCACAATGTTCATAGCAGCACAATTTACAATAGCCAAGAGTTGGAAGCAACCTAGGTGCCCGTCAGTAAATGAATGGATTAAAAAATTGTGGTACATATACACAAGGAATCCTATGCAGCAGAGAGAGAGAAGGAGCTACTACCCTTTGCAACAACCTGGATGGAACTGGAAAGCATTATGCTGAGTGAAATAGGCCAGGTGTTGAAAGACAAATACCATATGATCTCACCTTTAACAGGAAGCTAAACAATAAAACAAACAAGCAAGCAGAATAAAAACAAAGACACTGAAATAGAGAACAAGGGGACAGTGACCAGAGGGGAGAGGGAAGGGAATTTAAGGGGGGTAAAGGGGAGGGATTTGGAGGAACAAATATGAAGGATGCAGGGATGAGAACTAAGGGGGGTGGAAATGAGAGGGAGGTGGGGAGCATGGGGCGGGGGGGCTAGGATGGGAGAAATAGACAAAAAAAACTGTACTTGAAAAATGACTAAATAAAATTATTTAAAAAATAAAAATACAAATAAACATTAATAAATAAATAAATCTTTCTCTTTCTTTGCTAGTTTTCTTCTTTAGATACTCTGATTATTTGTATATTTTTCTGTTTTCCATATATATTCTGTTCTTCCTAATCCTAATCTTTTAAAAATTTTATGTCAATTTACTCATTTTTCTCCTTCCTGTTGTTAACCTAAAAATAAAAAGGCCAAAGTGAGAGGAAACAAGCCTTTATGAGATCAGTAAGAATAGGTATTCATGAAGTGCTGACTCAGGCAGAAGCCCAAATAATTTTCTGATTACAAGACAATGGCAATGTATATTTTGAGGAAAGGAAGAGAAACAATTATGATAGAAAAAAAGGCATTTCTACTGGTGCAGAAAAGCTAAAACAGTGGCACTGATTCTAAGCAATGCTTTAAATTTTCAATCCAAAAATGGGGAGGGATTTTGAGGAGCAAGTGTGAAAGACACAGGGATGAGGACTGGGGTGGGGGGGCGGAATGGGAGGGAGGTGGGGAGACGGGGCAGGGGGGGCTGGGATGGGAGAAACAGACAAAAGAAAACTGTACTTGAAAAATAACTAAATAAAAAAATATATTAAAATTTTTTTTTTAATTTCAATCCAGTAGTCATCAGTCCAATAGCCACGATAACTGCTTTCTTTTTTTCCTAGCAACAGTTCTTTGAGACACAAGGTTGCTTTAGATCCAATTCAAAAGTTACTTTGCCCTGTTTTAACATTCTGAAGGTTTGAGCAGTAAGATGCACAAGGCAGTTCCTTTGGGATGGCAGCTACAACTCTATTTTAATTTGGCTCTGTTTATTTTATTGTTTACATGGTCTTCTATGATGTTTACCATGTTTTCAGTGGTGCTATTCTATTCTTCTGTTGTTGTTTCCAATCTTCCTGTCATTTCTGACCTGTGTTTATTTCTTATCCTCCATTTTTCTCTTGAGCTCTACCAGTTAAAATCTCATCCTTTAAGTAGTCTTGCCATGTTATTTTATGCTTCTGGTCTGCACTTTAATAAATTTTTAGAAATTATAGTGAAATACTTGATTACAGCTTTCCACTGCTCTGTGGAACTTCTGTTTGTTTTTCCTGGTCTTATTCAACTTGGTACATTCCTCCTTTTAGATTTCAGTTTCTTTGCATGTAGACCTTTGCTGGTTTCTTTTTGGTTACTGTTCTTTGAGTGGGGTAAGCTTTTTTGAATCACAAAAGAGTTTATATAGGTCAATGCCAGGTTGCTGGCTAGCAAAAAACCTAATGAGAGTTTAATCTTCTCTTCTCCCCAGCCAATGGGTTTGTGCACTACAGGGCTATTCACAAGGCAAAGACTCTTTTTTTTTTACCTCACAGAGAGGCTGCTTCCTGCAAATGTGGCTTATCCATTTTTTAGAACTAAGCTAGGCCAGGGACACTCCCACCACCACTTTCCATTACTATCCTGGCAAGAGTGATCAGAAGGGGTAGGGAGGGAGGAATTAAAAAGGAGGAGAAGATGAAAGGTGGGTGGCAGAAGGGCCCAGATGCCTTGGGAACTCTTGGTTGGGACAGCTCCCAGGAAAAGTAAGTCTTGAGCAAGAAGGAGAAGGTGAAACACAGATCTGACTGCAGTCTTCTCTCTGACCTCTAGGGTGACCACGTGTGGCTGAATGCCCCCTTTGACAACAAAACCAATGTTGCTATTGGGGGCATCATCAAAGAAATAAAGCCTGGCAAGATCTTGGTCGAAGATGACGAGGGCAAGGTCAGTGTGGTCCTGCTTTCCCAGGAGGCTGGGCCCTCTCCATGTCCCCATCCCACCCCAGGACTCTGAACCTTCTCTCCTTCTCTGGTACTGCTCCCCCACACCAGAAGTTCCAAAGTCCAAGTGAAGGCCTGTGTGGCAGGACAGCCTATAAAGAGTCCTGTCATGGTGAATGTTGCCTATCTCAGGAACTGTTTCTACAGTGAAAAAGTGGCAAATGGGCTGGAAGATGGAAAAGGAGGACAATTAGGGGAGCAGGAAAGAGTGAAATGGGACAGGAGCTGTGTCAGAGAGGAGGGAGGGCAGGAAACTGGTTTGCAAAGTAAAGGAGGGTGCACTGGAAAGATAGGAAATTTAACTCCTCCTCAGGCAGCCCTCTACAGAGTGGGGCATGTGGAAGTTTGGCTTCCAAGGAGAAGATTCTAGACTGTGGCCTGTGAGCCCATACCATAGAAGCCAGTAGAATTTAACAATAACATTTCTATTTGCAAAATGATGTTATGCAGTTGAAAAAACACTTTTACTCACACACTTTTATTCTAACAGTCTGTGAGGCTCCCAGCTGTGATTGATCACAATCACAGCCACATGTGACTTTGAGCTATAAGTTCCTTTGACCCTGGTCTAAAATTCATCCCCAGCCTCCAGCTGACACCTGGCCCTAGGCATGTGCTGACTCCAGCCTTAGGCTGACCTGATGCTGTTCCAGTGTCCTTTAACCTTAACTACAGACTGACCCTGGCCAGAAATGTGTTACTAGGTCAGCTGATCTGTTGGGAACTTGGAGGAGAGGTACAGTGGGTTCATGCAGAGACTGCCCACTTAGGAGATTCTGTACTGTTCATTTCAGGGACACTGGATCCAAACAGAGGACCTTGGTACTCTCAGCCCCATGCACCCAAACTTGGCTCAGGGTGTGGACGACATGATCCACCTGGGGGACCTGAATGAGGCGGGCATGGTGCATAACCTCCTGATCCGCTACCAGAAGCACAAGATCTATGTGAGCACTCATGTCTCTACGGGGCTCCCCATGGGGGCTTGGTCCACTCATGCCGTCCTCCTGGCTGGGGAGGAATACCATGTGCTGGGTTGTGCAGCCAGGCACACCTGGTTCAATCCCCAATGTGTGACGTGGAAAAGGTGCCCAACATTTCTCCATCTTTGTTCCTAATCTGAAAGAGTGTGAAAATGTTTTTGAGGGTACAGAAAGCTGGCGTATACTGTGACAGCACTGTGCTTAGCACATAGTAGGTGCTCAATCAGTACTGCCTCTTTCTTGAGCAGAAGACCTGCTTTAATGGCCAAGTGGACCAAAGGTCATGGGGATGGGCATAGTCTTCTGCATAGCCCCTTCATAGGCATATGACAGAGACCGAATCACCAGCAGGCAGGGGACCATGAATAGGGTAAGGGTGAAGATGAGAGGAGATGGCTCTGTGAGGAGGGGATAGAGGGCCTGTTGAGCCACTTCAGCTGCATATGCATTAGAGCTCCTAGGTCTGATAATAGCAGTTAGCTTACCTTTTTTGCCTAGTTGTCATAATCCTTGCAGTGAGAAAGCTTATCCTCTCCATTTCTAAAATAAAGACTGAGAGGGATGACCATGTAACTTATAGAGGTGACTACCGCTATCATACCCTCAGAGGCACAGGCAGAGCTAGCTGGGGTTTCATGTGAGCAAGTGGGGTCCCAGAAGGGATCAACTGAGGTCCCAGGAGGGATCAGTGGGGACTGAAATTGTTGACTAGCCTCACAGAATCCCTGTGAGGTGAACACTACTTCATACATCAAACTATTTTTATCGAACTTATTCTAAATACCCAATAGAATGGTAAATATTAATGATGACCACCTCATGTAATCTTCCTGTGAATGTAGCCCCAACCTTGGAGTTCTCACTCATGGTGAATACCCCATCTTTTCAGAAGAAGGATCTGAGCAGCTGAATATCTTATCTCCCAGGAAAAATCAGATAACCCTACCCCACCAGAGTCAGCTGCTCTAAGGCCAAGATCAGGACTAGGCAGAACTGGCTCTCAGAGTGTAAGGCACTAATCTCCTATTCCCTTCCCCAGACATACACAGGCTCCATCCTGGTAGCAGTGAACCCATTCCAGGTGCTGCCCCTCTATACCCGGGAGCAGGTACAGCTGTACTACAACTGCCAAATGGGCGAGCTGCCTCCGCATGTCTTTGCCATCGCAAACAATTGCTACTTCAACATGAAGAGGAACAAGAGGGACCAATGTTGTATTATCAGGTGGGGGCAGACTATTCACATTACTGGGGCAGGGGACCAATGGGCCAGGCACCCAAACTGAGCATCTTATAAAGAAGGGAGCACTTTTCTCTAAACCTCCTCCACAGACCAGCATCTGCAAACACCTTCCCCAATAGCACATGAGCCCTCAGGCATCTAGCCCTGCTTCCCTCCTACCCTTAAAAGTCCTTCCAAGGCTTCTTTCCTCCAGAACCTACTCTTCCACTGTATTACCAGGGCCTAGACTCTCTGCCCTTTAGTGACTATTCTTTAAGACAAGCAAGGATGGTATGGCTCATTTAGAAGTGAGCCCAGCATAGGCACTTGGACTGCTAAGGTCAAACAGGCAAGGCCTCACTCAAAAAAACAAATAAAAAACTCAGGCAGACCTCAGGTGAGGACAGGGCAGCAGTGGCTCCAGGGTTAGCTCTCAGGTCACTAGGGCCCAGAAGAGATGTGTCCCCCTGCAGTCCAGGACCTAATCCTGCTTCAGAGAGTTGTTGCCTGACCTGGCCTCTCTGCTTCTTGCAGAAGCCCTCCTTGTACCTAGGGAAAGGAGGGTGAGAGGGATAGGAAGGAAGAGGTGGATTTTGGCTCCAAGGCACATTGCTTGGTGTTTTAGTAGTCATTCATTCATTCATTCATTCATTCCTCATTCACTCATTTATTGGAGGTTATATTGTGCTTCAGTAGTGTACCTCACACCATCCTAACATGGGGAGACCACAGCAAATAAAAGGGATCACAATTCCTGCCTCAAGGATCTTATATCTTTTTGCAGGAAGACAGTTGGGCACAAAATATATAGGCAGTTTTTCCAGCAGGTAATGGGAGCTTTGAAGAAAAACACTGCAGGGAAAGAGAAAAGAGAGTGATGGAACCACTGCTTTAGGTGGGGGGCAGACTAGTCACAGCCTCTCTGAGGAGGAGATGTTGGAATAAAATCCAAACTGAAGTTCTGTAACATAGGTCATCATACTTCGTGTTCTCAGCAACCTTTTGAATAGACATTTTTATTCCTGTTCTACTGTTGGGGAAACCTCTCAACCAGAGGTTGAGAAAAGCTCACAGAGCCACTTCTCACCTCCAGGACACAGTACCTGAAAAGAGGATAAGGAATATTGTTCTTCTACTCTTTGCATGAACATGTCACTCGTAATCAAATTGCCTTCTCATCCTGCCCCCACACTCCCCTCCCCTGGGCTATGAGCTCAGCTCTCTGCCAGTGCTCTCTGCCCCTGCTTGTGTCTGTAGCAAGCATTTACATATTCCTTGACTCAGTGGAAACTTGGGGATCTGGCTGACTTCACTGGAATAGCAAGTGTAGATATTATGAGCAAAACTTTCTAAAACTTAATATTTTCAGATAAAATAATATTTCTCTTTGATTTGCTTCAAAATGGTACAAGAGAGGAAATAAAATTGGCCTGGAGGAGAACCTTGGAGTCTGGGTTGTGGGAGCTTGTTATGCAAACTGTAAAGTGCAGGAACCCCTGTTCCACTTACTTATGCATTCATTGGTTGATTCTTGTGTGTGTCCTGATGGGAGATTAAACTCAACAGCCTTGGCATAGTGGGATGATGCTCTACAGGACTAAGTGTCCTAAGTAATTTTTTAAAACTTTATATGGAAAAAAATTTTAAATATATTTTATTGATTATGCCACTACAGTTGTCCCCTCCACCCTGCACACCCCTCCCCCACCATTCCCCCCCCTTTAGTTTATGTCCATGTGTCACAAGTTCTATAGATTCTATATTTCCCATACTTTTCTTGACCTCCCCCGTCTATTTTCTACCTACCATCTATGCTACTTATTCTCTGTACCTTCTCTCCCCTTCTCCTCCTCCCACTCCCCTATTGCTAACCCTCCATGTGATTTTCATTTCTATGGTTCTGCTCCTGATCTAGCTGTCCTCTAGTCGTCCTTTTGTTTTAGATGTGGTTGTTAATAACTGTGAGTTTGCTGTCCTTTCACTGTTCATCTTTTTTATCTTCTTTCTCTTAGGCAAGCCCCTTTAACATTTCATATAATAAGGGCTTGGTGATGATGAACTCCTTGAAGTTGACCTTATCTGAGAAGCACTTTATCTGCCCTTCCATTCTAAATGAAAGTTTTGCTGGACAGATCAATCTTGGATGTAGGGCTTTGGATTTCATGACTTGGAATACCTCTTTCCAGCCCCTTCTTGCCTGGAAGGTCTCTTTTGAGAAATCAGCTGACAGTCTGATGGGAACTGCTTTGTAGGTGACTGTCCCCTTATCTCTTGCTGCTTCTAGAATTCTCTCCTTCATTTTCATCTTGGCTAATATAATGATGTGCCTTGGTGTGTTCTTTCTTGGGTGCACCTTCTTTGGGACTCTCTGAGCTTCCTGGATTTCCTGGGAGTCTCTTGCCTTTGCCAGATTGGGGAAGTTCTCCTTTATTATTATTTCAAATAAGTTTTCCACTTGTGGCTGTTCCTCTTCCCCTTCTGGTACCCCTATAATTCGGATGTTGGAACATTTAAAGATGTCCCGGAGGTTCCTAAGCCTCTCCTCATTTTTTTAAATTCTTGTTTTTTTCATATTTTCCTGTTTGGTCATTTTTTTTCTTCCTTCTGGTCCACTCCTTTGATTTGAGTCCCAGTTTCCTTTTCATCACTATTGGTTTCCTGTGCATTTCCCTTCATTTCAATTAGTTTAGCCTTCATATGTTCCTGCAATTTGTGACTAAAATCAACTAGTTCTGTGAGCATCCTGATCACCAGTGTTTTGAACTGTGCATCAGAAAAGTTAGCTATCTCTTGGTCGCTTAGATTTATTGGCTCTGGGGCTTTGAGATCTTCTTGAGCCATAATGTTTTGGTCTGTTCACACCTGTTACATATGAGGGGCAGAGCCTTAGGTGTTCTCCAGGGTGGGGCGACCCAGTCACTGGGTTGTGTTGCTGTATGTGGGGGCGGGGTCAGAGAGGGGCAATGGCAATTGTTCTGCTCTCTCTCAGATTTCTGTCCCCTCTGCTGCTCCCCACAAGCTAATTGGGCCCTTCTGGTGTGGGCTTGTGCAGCCTCCAGGAACCTATGGGTCTCTCCAATGAACTCTCTGTGAGCCTGGGAGCCTCTTTTGGCACCTTGACCCCAAAAGTTTTTCCAATCAGTGCTTTTAGGCCTTACTTCCTGGCCCTGAGGCCCTGGTTTGCGCTGTCTGTGTCACTGCTCTCTCCTCTGCCTAGTTTATCTGCACACAAATGTATGACTGTGGTCAGCCAGCCACCCTGAGCCTTCACTGGGTCCGCCTGTTGCCACCCCACGACTGGGATTCACCAACCGCCTGTGCGCCTGGGTCAGCCAGCCAGCTTTTCCTGCACAACCCTACTCTGCCACCCACTGACTCCGCCCCTCTTACTGGTCTGACTGAATGATTCGTAGTTGGACTTCCGTATAGTTCAGTTTTCTGTGTTTTGATTGCATTTTTGCTACTAAAACTTTGTTGTCTTTAAATTTGGTTGTGTGAGGAGACACAGTGTTTCCACCTATGCCTCCATCTTAGCCAGAAGTCCTAATTTTTTAAAAGATTTTATTTATTTATTTTTAGAGAGAGGGGAAAGGAGGGAGAAAGAGAAGTAGAGAAACATCAATGTGATTGACTCTTGCATGCCTCCTACTAGGGACCTGGCTTGTGACCCAGGCATGGGCCCTGACTGAGAATCAAACCAGTGTGACCCTTTGGTTTGCTGGCCCACACTCAATCCATTGAGCCACACCAGCCAGGGCTCCTAGGCAATTAAAAAAAAAACAGTTTTCATTTTTTACCAGCATGTAATTAATATATATTCACTATGGAAATTTTAGAAATTTTCAGAAAAATATTCTGAGAAAAAAAATTGCTAGATATTTTTTGCAGAATACTTCCACTACCCACTTAGCTAAAACTATACTGAATAGTGCCAACATCTGCCATTCTTCTATAACTCATAAGCACTGACTATGTTGTTGTCAGCTCTGAGTAGACAGTTTTAATGGCTGCATGATGTTCCCTGACTGGATGGACCATAATTAATTTCCCCATTCAGGTTACTTCTGATTTTTCATAATTGCAGTGATAAATAAATAATGCTTTAATGAGTAGAAAGCTCTGTGATGAAAGTTTTTTTTTAATTTTAGGATTATTTTCTTAGGCTAAACACAGAATAATTCTGAAGTTTTTGATACCTGTGCCAAATTGCTTCCCAAGAGACTGATGCAGTTCCCCTCCAGCCAACAAACTCCCTGCTCATGTAGAGAGTGTCACAAGGCATCCAGTCATCTGGTCTTTTTCATTTATCTGTTATTCATAAGCACTGCGCCCATGACCCTGGAATGAACCTAATAGACCCTGCCTTCTAGGGCTCACAGTTCAGCAGGGTCCAAAGACAAACACACCAATAACTAGTACAACATAGTCTGAAAACACAGGGGACTCAAGGGAAAATGTGGTGGGAATTCTGCACACAGGGAGAGCATCTCTGTTCAGACTACCCCAGAAAGTAAGCCTGTGATGGGTTTGCAGTAGAGTTGAGAGATTCTGAAAACCTTATTTTCCTATTGACTAATTCCCAATGTACTGTCTTTGCAGTGGTGAGTCTGGGGCAGGAAAGACAGAGACCACCAAGCTCATCCTTCAATTCCTAGCCACAGTCAGTGGCCAGCATTCATGGATTGAGCAACAGGTCCTGGAGGCCAACCCCATCCTGGAAGGTAAGTCACCCTTAAGATCAGCCCTCCTCCCAGGCCCTTCCTGTGGGCTGGAGCCTTCCTGCCAAAACGTGCCCCTGGGGAAGGACAAGAGAGGCCACACATGCTCAGCAACTTCTCAAAATTCCTCAGGACATGAAAGATAAGAATGGAGTGGGTGGTAGTGTGGGGCCTCCCAAGAAGCACAAAGGGGAAATACTGATGACTACAAGTTTTACTAAATTTGTTTTCCACAGGGTTGTAACAAGTATTCCTTTTAAAAGGGGTCCAAGATGAGTCAACTTGGGAGATGCTGTGTATGTCAGTTTGTCCTCTGGGAAGCAGTTGCCAGCTAGGGTTAGGGCTATAAGAGGGGTTAAGGGGTAACCCCTGAAGAAGGTGAAAGGGGAGGAAACAAGAATGGGCAGGAAAAGCCTCCAGACTGGGATGCTGGCAGGACACTTAGGAAGGAACAGATTTGGGCAGGATGAGATTCACACTGCAATGCATACCTGACAAAAGTGTTAGCCAACTCCACAGGGACCTCTGGAGCCAATGCCAGTTAGAGGAGTCCTGTATTAGGCTCAAAACCAGGCCTTGGTGCCCCCTTCACTCAGTCTTTGGTAGGGGTGGCCCAATGCCAATAACCTCAGCGCCAATGTTGTTAGCCGCTGGTCAGCACGTTCTCTTTTTCTTTACAACTGAAGTATAGTTTATATACAGTAAAAATTGACCTTTTTGATGTACAGTTTTGTGAGTTTTGACAGACTCATACAAGTAATGTAACCCCTATTATAATCATGATATAGAATGTTCAAAATTTTCCTCAGTCCCCTTTGTGGTTGGCTGTATTCCAAGCCCCATCCCGTCACAAGCACTAATTTGTTTTTTTCCCCTATAGTTTTATCTGTTAAAAGAGGTCATATAAGTAAAAACATACAGTCTGTAGCCTTTTGGTTCTGGTTACTTTTATTAGCATAATGCATTTGGAACTTTTCCATGTTCCTATAACAAGATTTATTCCTTTTATTACATTATTTAGAAGTAACACAGTTTGTCCACCAAGTGAAGGACATCTGGGTTGTTTATAGTTTTTAGTGAGTATGAATAAAGCCTCTACCAACAGTTACATACAGGCTTTTGTGTGAACACATGTTTTTCTCTTAAATAAACATACAGGAGCAAAATTGTTGGGTGGTAAGTGAGCCATTTAACTTTGTCAGAAACTGCCAAACTGTTTTCAAAATGGCTACTCCATTCAGCACACCCACAAGCAGTGGATGAGTATTGCCACTGTCCCTGTGCTGAGGTTGGGGTGTGGACAACTGTCTTCCCTGCCATGGGTAGAGTGGACCTCACTTCGACTCACATTCACTTCTCCTTCATGGCTAATGACTGGAGCTGCTTTTCATGTGCTCACTTCCCATCTGTGTAGCTTCTATGGTGAACTGTCTTTTGCCTATTTTTTGACTGAGTCAATTCCTTATTAGTGATTTTGTAATCATTTTGTAAGATTTAGTTATATATTCTGGATACAAGTCCTGTATAAGATAGGTGGTTTTAAGTATTTATTCCCAGTCTGTGATTTGTCTTTTCATTCTCTTAACAGTGTTTTTGTAGTCAGAATTTTCAGATTTTAATAAATTTTAATTTAGCATTTTTTTCTTTTATTGATTATGTTTTTGGTACTGTATCTAAGAAATCTTTGCCTAATCCAGAAATTTTCTCCAATGTTTTCTTTTAGATGTTGTGTAGTTTTAGGTTTTACAATCTGGTCTATGATCCATTTTTTGTTAATTTTTTCTGTGGTACAAGGTATAGGTTGAGTCCTTCTTTCTCTTTTCTTTCCTCTCTCCCTCCCTTAGTTCCTTCCTTCTTTCCATATGGACATCTAATCAGTTGAGCCCCATTTGTCAAAAACACTATTCTTTCTCCATTAAATTGTGTTTGTTCCTTCGCTTAAAATCAATTGACCCTATAGTTGGTCTATTTCTGGACTCTTATTCTGTTCTATTACCCTCTCTGTTTATCTTTTTACCAGTACCACATGGTCTGATTTCTGCAGCTTTTTAGTAAGTTTACAATCAGGCAACATGTAACTTCCAATTTTGTCCTTTTTTGAATGTGGCTATTCTAGGTCCTTTGCCTTTTCATACAGTTTAAAATCACCTTGTCACTTTTCACCAAAAGAAAAAAAAGGCTACATCAGATTCTTTCTTGAAGAGGGATCTGCCACTGGATTCAATAACATTAGGCATTTCACTTAACATAATGTTCTTCAGTTCCACCCATGCTGTCTCAAAGGGTAGGAGCTCCTTCTTTCTCTCTGCTGCATAGTATTTCATTGTGTAAATAAATATACTATAGTTTTTGATCCACTCATTTACTGATGGGCACTTAGGTTGCTTCCAGCACTTGGCTATTATAAATTGTGCTGATATGATCTCACCTTTAACTGGAACATAATCAAAAAAGGAAAAAAGCAAATAAAATATAACCAGAGACATTGAAATTAAGAATAATCTAACAATAACCAGAAGGGAGGGGGGAGGGGACAATGGGGGGAAGAGTTATCAGGAACTACTGTAAAGGACACATGGACAGAATCAAGGGAGAGGGTGGAAGCAATGGAGGGAGGTGGGTTTGGCTGGGGTTGGGGGGAATGGTGAAGAGAAAATGCAGACAACTGTAATTAGGCAACAATAAAATAATTTAAAAAATAACATTAAGCAGGCTTCTGAACTGTAGTCCTTCTCAGAGCCTCTCCTGTGCACTGGGATTCCTCAAGGAAGACAGTCAGTGTACCCTAAACCTGTTTGACCAAGGAACAATTTTCCTTTTTCTCATGGAACTAATGCTGAATGGTGGTACAGAATTTTCAAACCACTTCCCAAACCACAAGTGGGTCATAAAATAAGTCTTTTAGAACTAATAAATAGGATAGAATAGAAAATACACCAGCACATTGCTCTTGGTAAGAACTGGTACAGAATATTTTCTCTTAATTATGTATGTAGGTAGGGGTAGGTATGTACTAGGACATAGAGCAAAGGATATTTCTTACTGTGGATCATTTCTGAGATGCCTGCAGAAACAGCTCTATGGAATGCACTTTGATTCATACTTCAACCTCAGTTTGTCCTGGGTTGATCTCTTGATTGGTGCACTAGCCCATGCCAGCTTTTGCCATTCTTGGTGCAAGCTGGCCATCTCTAACCCAGCCTCCATTCAGCTTGAGCAGTCTTTCAGACGAGATCGGGCGCGTTCAGGGTAGTATGACCATAGACTTGAGCAGTCTTTCAAAAAATGCAAATCTGGTGCCACACTCCTTCCAAAGCTTTCCCACCTTCACCATCATTTCCAGAATCAGTGCCAAACTTCTTAACCTGGCATTCAAGGATCTGTGCTATTAGGCCCACCTACTAACTAATGAGTTCTTTCTTTCTTCCACTGCCTTCTTCCTGTATCCTGTGCTCTAGCCAAATTTCCCACTCTGCAAGCACACCTCATGCTTTCTGACCTCTATACCTTTACCTGCATTTTGCCTTCCTCTTAATGTATCCTTGGCTGCCACCACTGTCCAGGGCAATACTATCTGTCTTCAGTTCTGGGCTTCACCACCTTCTCTGAGAAGCTTTATCAAATGACTGCTAAAAGTACATTTTCTCCTCTCTGCTCCCATTATGGGTATCACCCTCTGTCCCTCAGCCTTTGGAAATGCCAAGACAATCAGAAATGACAACTCAAGCCGCTTCGGGAAATACATCAACATCTACTTCAACCCCAATGGGGTAATTGAAAGTGCATGCATCGAGCAATTTCTCCTGGAAAAGTCCCGGGTCTGCCATCAGGTAAGGCCCCTACCTGCTGCTTTATTCCTTGGGGCAATCTCTATCTGCTCCAGGATGAGGAGTCAGGGGACTGGGGAGATTTCCCAGGGGAGGTCCCCATCCATCACTCTCACCCCACCTTCCCTCTTCCCCAGGGACCTCCTCAGGCCCCCTCCAATAGATCTTAGCTTGCTGCCACTGACCCCTTGTCTAACCCTGATGAGCCAAGGATCCCTAGAATTGGATAATAATGGTCTTTGCCCAGCACTCAAAGAAAAGAAGTGATAGGAATTTCTGTTCTGAATTTTTCATCCATATAATTTCCTTCATTTTTTGGTGCCTGCTACTCCTCACCTTTACTGGAATTAAGTCTGAGGCTGGGCCAGCCCTCAGCTGAGGGTCTGTATCCTGACATCACTACCTTGCTTATGACTTTAGGGAGGGTGGCTTCAGGGCTTCTGGGAAGTGCCTAAGAGAGATGGGTTCCCTGGGCAGGGTGAGTAGCCTTAGCACAGGGCTGCTGACCGGCCTCAGCCTTGGGGTCCAGCTGTCTCTCAGGTCAATGGCAGAGCCATATCTGTCTGAGAGAGATTGGAACAGAGGCCAGGACAGGACTGAGGGCAACAGTCTGAGGCTCTGCAGCTGCAGGGAATTACTTTTAAGCTCTATAGATGGCCTTCCTTGACAGGCCCCAGAAGAGCGGAACTATCACATCTTCTACTCCATGCTCATGGGGATGAGCACAGAAGAGAAGGAGCTGCTGCACCTGGGGATGCCCTCAGACTACCGCTACCTGACCTTGGTGAGGCCCTCCACACCCTGCCTCTCCCCTCGAAGCCCCATCCCTCTCTCCACCCTGCCTCCCCCTACCCTGTAGCCCGTCTCTTTTACCACTCCCTGCCCCTCCACTACCTCCACCCCACCTCCACCTTTCAAGTGCTAAAGGAGAATGAGGAAGGAGGGCTGGTGTGCTGGTATCTGTTCAACCTTTGCTTTATCCCTGAAAAGCCCAAACTTTAATAGGATCCCCTTTTCGTTTCCCACCCACACTTCCATGGTTGGTTCCCACTTTATAACTGGCAAAGACCTACCCTTGTCTGAAGGATCCTTATTCCTGTGAAATGATGGTGCTTCCCCACACAAAGCTCACCTTTTTGGAACCAATGAGTAAAAGGCTTGTCACCCGATTTACTCATTGGTGATCATGGGTAGTCATTCCATGCCTCTTCCCTGTTTTCACTACAATCATCATCCTGTGGGTGCCTCTAGAACTTGAACTCCAGGAGAGCAGAGTCCTTGCTTGCACTTGCTCTGGAATGCATCCCTACTTTCTTAGCTCCCCACTCCACTCCCATCTGGGACAGTTGCAGCACAAGGGGCCCTCTGCTCATGTTTGCTGACAGGGGAAGATGAGTTCTACCTCTTGAATATCTTCTATGCAGCCCTCTCTCTTGTTTTCAGCCTCTGGGATCTTGTCTGGACCATGGCAGGACCCTGTGTCCCTCCTCTGATCTAATTTGTCACTAACCCTGCAGGCTCCATACCTACTCTACCATTCATCCTCCAGTGACAATTCTCCCATGGCCCTGTAGAATGGTTTTCAAGCCCCTTGCCATCCTTGAACCTCTCCCCCCTCGCCACTAACCCAACCTTCTTTGTAGTCTTGGACTCCTGCCTCCCACCTTCCCACTCAGCACCAGCTGTTCTCTGCCTAGACCTCCCTCTCCTCTGTACCTCTTTAAAGCTCAGCATTTAGCTTTAAAGGACCAAATGGGCCAGCTCAAGAGCCTCCTCCTGGAAGCCTTACCCCACTTGCCAGTGGATTGGCCTCACCTGCTTTGGTCTTGGCACCTATAATAGTCTATGAGACAGTCATCTGCTTCCTGCCTGACCCTTCTCCATGCACAGCACCCAGTGCAGGGCCAGGTCTCTTTATTTCTGAATTTCCAGCAGTACCACAGAGCCTGGCACACAGTGAGCTTTGGAAAGTATATCTTAAATGAACCTGTGATATTCCCCCAGAGAGTAAGTGAAGCAGGTGTTATTATGGATGGGTGACAGATTAAGGGTCAGAGAAGCTGAATGACTTGATCTAGGCCACACAGCTACCAAGTGCCAATGTTAGCTGCAGAGCTCAGCATTCTATGTCTGTGCCTCTGGTTCTGCCCCCAGAGGTACTTTTGTATGTTTTCTGAGCTTAGACCTCCTTGTGGCCCCTCAGAGTCCACCCAGAGGATATGAAGTGTTACTTATCAGGGCCTTTGGCTAAGTCTGTGATGCTTCTTCGCCTGTTGGCACAACATAAAGGAGGTAGGGTGTGGAGTGATGCCTACAAAAAGCTGAAGGGCCTGATCCTGCAGGGGAACTGCACTTCCTGTGAGGGGCTTAATGATGCCAAGGACTATGCCCACGTGCGCTCAGCACTGAAGATCCTCATGTTCTCTGACTCTGAAAACTGGGACCTCAGCAAGCTTCTGGCAGCCATTCTTCACCTGGGGAACGTGGAATTTATAGGTAATACTCCTCCAAACAGCAGCCCCTGGGGGGAAAAAGTGGGGGAACCAGGAAAGGAAGAGAAAGGAATCTCTAAGGGTTTTCAGCTAGATAAAGAGTGCACTGAAGTCACGTGGTCTAATGTTGTCCTGGAAAAATGTACTGAAAGTTTTAGCTATAATTTTGGTAGCCTTGTGGGGTTAGGGAAAAGATGTTAAAGATTAGGGCACTCCAAAGGTGAAGAGTTGATCCATCACCTCCGACTTTAAGCTTGGACCCCAAAGTGCTACCCTCTCAGGGTAAGGGTAAAGCATAGTAAACAGACCCATGTATAAACCTACAAACCAGTTTGTAAGCACTCACGTGGTCTGGGGATTAGAGTTTCTTGGACTGTTAGCTCCCTGAGCACCTGACCTAAAGGACAAAGTGAGAAGACTAGCATACATTGCACTGGAGTTCTAAAGGAAAAGACAAAGTGAATGGGGCATACATTGTATTTGAAGAGATAATGGATCACTCTGGCACTCATGAAACACACCAATTCAGAGAGCAGTGGATAAAGAATGAATTTGAAATAAATTGTTCTGGAGCAATTGGGTGTCCACGTGGAAAACATGAATTCAGACCACTGTTTCACACCACGTAAGGAAACCTACTCCAAGTGAGCTGTAGCAGGTGACCATATAATCAATCTATCAACCAAACTGGGCACTTCTGCTACTGAAAGGTGGGTGCTGACAACAGGGGCACCAGGACATGGAAGGAGATTCTAAATGTGTTGAGGAAATAAAGCCAGGTACAAAGAATGCATACCTTTATATAACACTTATACAAAGTTTAAAAACCGGGATTAATATATAGATAATAAAAAGATAAAGAAAATCCAAGGAAGTGGTTTCCATGAAAATTAGGAGAGTGGTTAGTTCTAGTGGAGAAAAACAAGGTCTTCACAGGAAAGAACTATGCTAAACTGTGGCTTTGTATTTAGACTTTAGGAGTGGTTATATGGTGATGACTTAATAATTATTCACTGTAACATGCCTTTGGGTTTTATGTACTTCTTTATCTATATACTTTATTGTACACTTTTTTTAAGTTAAAAAAAACATGCAGAAAAATCACTACATCCTCCCCCAATCCTGGCAGTCCTAAAGTGGAGGTTGTCTCAAGCAGGAGGATCTTGAATTAGGAAGGCTGTCAGGAGACTTGCCATAGGGCTGGGCTCCACTTACAATGGTGTTCTGTTAATATTCACTTATTTGACTGAATGCCCATGTTTCTATCAACAGCAGAGTGGTTTGAAGGGGGCTGATGACTCATCTTTTCCCTCAGTAGACCCCCACCCCCACCCAGTTCACCAGGTTCTCCTCCCTATGAACAAGCCTGAATTTCTTGAAACTTCCTTTTGACCCCAGACCCTGCTCTCAGGAGCAGAGTGGAAGGATAATCACCTGGGACACTGGTTCCTGAGAAGGGCCTGAGGGGGACAGGGCCTCAGGGACAGGGGCTACCCCAGGCCAGGTGCTTACTGAAGCTTCTGACCAGTCACTTCAGGATGCTTCACCATTAAATATTAACATTTCTCCCTGCAGCTGCAGTCTTTGAAAACCTGGATTCCTCTGATGTGATGGAGACACCTGCCTTTCCCAATGTGGTGAAGTTACTGGAGGTAGCCTGGCTGTTGTGTCTGCCAGCTTCTATTTTTGAGGGGACCCCAGGGGCCTGGGTTCACAGACCCCTGATTCTCATAACCCTTCCCAGCCCTCTTCCAGGCTCTCAGCTTAACCCCTGCACCCTTCTGCACATTGCTGGCCTTGCAGGTAGGAACCAATATGAGCTAACCATTAACAAAGTAGCAAAATGACATCTACCTCTCCACCCCACTCATCCCTCATCCCAGTGACCTTACTCTGGACCTTCCCTTTTTCCCTTCAAATGTCCCTGCCCACATCCTCATCCCTAGGGCTTCCTCATGAGCTGTGCTGTTCTGGAAAAGTGAGATATGCCCACACCATCAGCCTCTAGGATATTCTAGAGTGAAATGGAGCCTCCACTTGGAGGACGAACCACAGGCACAGGCAGGGAAATGTGTTTACACTGGGGACATTGTGACATCCGCCATATCATACCCCATTGACCATTCTGGTGAGAAATTAATAGAACCAGAAGAAAAAAAGAAAGAAAGGAAGGGGAGAAAAGGAAGTCACATTAAGCAGGTTTTGCTGCTCTTCATGTAGGGCAGGGCTCTTAGAAACTATGGGTATTTGCCAGCTTGGTCTCCCCTGCATGGTGAAAGTCTGGACTGTCCAGACTCACTATTGTTCTTTCAAGTTTGCAGGCTCCAGGCTGGAGGGGCATCCAGATGCCCACAGCCTGGCTCAAAACCCTCCCTGCCCATTGTTTTTCAGGGTCCACCTGGTGGTTATTGCCCTTTCCTGAGCCCAGAGGGGCTAGGGGGCCCACAGTCACCATGCAGATGGTTGGCAGAACTGGGACTTGACCAACTCTTTCTGTTCTGTTCCACCCAGGACACCAACTCTGGTTCCTATCTGGCTTGGCCGTAGTCACAGGCATCTCCCTCCCTCAGGTCTTGGACATAAGGTGTTTGGTCATGAGAGGGAATAAGACATAGCACAAGCAGGTCAGAGTCCTGGAGCCAGGTCCTGCTCTGTCAGCTGTCCACCTGCCTTTCCAGGTTACGCACCAGGCACTCCGGAACTGTCTGATCAAGCACTCCATCATCATCTGTGGGGAAGCTGTCACCAGGCCTCTGAACATCACCCAGGCTGCAGACAGGAGGGATGCCTTTGTCAAGGTGCAGAGCTGTGGGAGAAGGGGCAATTACCTATTGAACTCGGCTCCTTGCTCTGTTGGTGGAGGGTAACAGAACAGAAAGAGTTGGTCAAGTCCCAGTTCTGCTGACCATCTGCATGGTGACTGTGGGCCCTCTGGCCCTTCTGGGCTTGGCCTCTTGCCTTTAAACTAGAGATGATATCTTTCAGTGAGTACGTGAGATCCAGTGTGAGTGCACCCTTTCTAAGTGAACTTGGAAAAAGGAGCAGCCTTCTTCCTGTGCTTTAAAGCCCATTGGTTATATCCCATGTTTCCTCAGGCCATCTATGGACACCTCTTCCTGTGGATTGTCAAGAAGATCAATGCTGTAATTTTCACTCTGCCTGCCCAGGACCCTAAAAATGTACAAAGGACCATCGGCCTCCTAGACATATTTGGCTTTGAAAATTTCCAGAACAATAGGTATGAAGATCTTAGTTTACCTGCTTTCAGAAAATGGAAGATAGGCTTAACTTTTAACTGACCAAGATAGAAGATAGCCATTCTTTCCCTGCTGAACTCTCACTTCCAATCATAGGTGCCCGTGTGAGTCTACTGGAAAGGGCCATGTTTTTCTGCAAAGAGATAGTCTGTGCATATCCTCTGGTACCCGCATGTCCAGAGAAGGCCCTATAGCTAAAAGCATCCTGAGAGCTAGGTGATGACCCCAGCATTTGTCACCCCTCTTGAGCCATCTTCTCTCCTCATGAATGAGTGAATAATATTAGGGTGAAAATAAAATCAAAACACTGATTTGACTGCATCTTTAGGTGGTATATCAAACTAGGTATTAGAAAGAAAGTGGAGGATTTGTGGGCCATTCATGATTTTTTAGTTTGGTGGGGTTAAGGCAAGGCAAGATGACTATAACCCCTGAATGGATACTGAAGAGCTGATCAGGAGACAGGTCAGAAAAGATGCTTAGTGGTGACTGCAATGAAGCCTCGGGGACAGAAACAGGGGTGAGGAAAGGAGCCAGGCCATGGAGACAAATAAAGATAGTTGATGCTCTGTACATTATCAAGGGGAGGAGATCAAGTGAGAAAAATGAGGACTGGGACAAGCAAGCAGGAAGCATCCTATATGCAATCTAGCTTAGTCAAATGAGCCTGGCTCATTAAAGGACATGGAAGGACAAAGCTCAGGGCTAGTTCCAAGAAGTAAAGGCCTCTGGGCACTGTCAGAGGAGCCAAGATGCTGGCCTGAACTTCACATGCCTCTGCCAAGGCCCTGTCTCCATGTGAAGTCTGAGAGGGCCCTTCGGTGAGCCAAGAATGTTGAGACACAAGCCATTCCCAATGCAAGCATACTGGGATGGCAGGCTCCCTGGACCAGCTGCTCAAGCCAGGCAGGTAACATGGGACAGGGCTCAAAATTAGACCCAATATGATGATAGCTCTTAGGCACAGTAATCTAAAAAGCAATACAGATCATTTGTTTCTGTCCCCTAGAGGGACAACTGAGTAGATCAAGCATACCTTTGGAAATTTTGGAGGACCATGAGTAGTTGGTTGTGGAGGATCTGGCCATTTATGCAAGAGCTACTCCCTGAAGGAGCCACAGGCTGGGCTTGTATCAGGCTGCAGTCTGGGGCCTGGTGAAAGGTGAGTGCTGCATCACCCAGCACTCAGTGAGTCAGGCCTTCTGCAAGTGTCCACTGGGCCCTCTCCAAGCAATGTACTGGGAGTAGAGAATATGGCCCACCTGTGTCCTCACCTGTTGGTTTAACAGATGTTGAATGAGCAGTCTAGGTATGATAAGGTTCTGCATAAATCAACAACCCATCCTGAGGCAAAAATGCCTAAGTGAGACCCAGGGGATGCGCTGATAGAGCTGGACCATGAGGTAGGAGAGAAATGGCAACCAATTAGGGAAGGCTCAGAGATAGGGAAGAACTAGGTGTCTCCACAGCACTTTGCAAAGTCCAGAGTGGTGTGGGGCCACTTCCCTGAACAGAGGCAGGCTTTCTACTATATCAGTCTCTGTCTGGGTCCTAAAAACAACCTGAAGCCTGGGGGTGAGGGAGGCAGTAAGCTCAGATCTGCATGTTAGGAAGCTTCCTCTAATGGCAAGTTGAAAAGAACTAAGAGGCAAGGCTGCAACCTTAGAAGGATCAGACTAAGAAGGCCAGTATCATGCTCCATGTGAGCAATGAAAGTAGTCTGTACCTCATAGCAGTAGGAGGAGTGAAAAGTAAAGAGGTCAGGATGCTGTGTTGGAGAGAGCATGGACCAGACTTTGGAATCTGAATGGGAATGGGGAGGAGGTAGAGGGAGGTGTCAATCTTGACTCCTTGGTTTTTGACTTGTGTCAGGGGTGATCTCCCGAGGTGGGGAATCATAAGGAAAAGCAGGTAGGAGGATTAGGGCAGGGGTAAGGTTGATGCAGAGGAGCCCAGAAGTAAATACTGAGTCTCCAGCAGCTCTTCTCACACCAAGGCCACTTGCCCACACGGCTGGAGCTGCTACGGACTACTTGGTTTTCCAAGGATTATTTTTTCATGTTGAGATAGGCAGGCCTGGCAGAAATCTAGGGAATTAGTAAGGTGCTGAAGGCAGGGGATTGATGGTATGCCGTCATCAATAAGAACCTTCTCCTTTCTTGTAGTCTGTTTGCCATAGGTTGGAAGTGAGGTGATGGGGGTAGAGGCAGAGAAAAGAGGGGGGGTGCATGTCCATGTACTCACAGGGGTCCATGGGAATGGGAATGTATATCCATGAACATACACGTTACCTTGTGCAAATGGCTGGTGACACAGTTGTTTATACCAGCCACAGCAGGGGCAGAGCTGACCCTGCTCCACCTCTGGTAATAGCATTGCCTCCACAGCTTTGAGCAGCTCTGCATCAACTTTGCCAATGAGCACCTGCAGCAGTTCTTTGTGCAGCATGTATTCACATTGGAACAGGAGGAGTACCACTCTGAGAATATCGCCTGGGACTTCATCCACTACACCAACAACTGGCCCACCCTGGACCTGATGGCCTTCAAGCCTATGAATATCATTTCCCTCCTGGACGAGGAAAGCCACTTTCCACAGGTGCATCCCTAGACCTACCATCACTCTGGTTGAGACACCCCAGATGTCTCTTCTTGGAGGTTGGGAAACTCCCCTGGGGTAACCCATTTGTTCTGGGTTTGCTGAAACCTCTGATAGAAATTAGAAAACCAGCCCCAGCATGTCTCCCAACCAGACCTCCTCACCTTAGGGTATCCTCCTCACCCACCTCAGGGTATCCCCACCCCCATCCTGAAAAAAAGCTTCCTAATTCCACCATTTCCAATCCCCAGAAGAATTATATCTCAGTCACTGATTACTTAGATTCAAGAACACACCCTAAATGAGGACTTCCTAAGTGTCTATGTTCCAAGAGCAAGAAAAATTTTATTCTCTCGCCCTTAGGGAAATTGGCCTGTCCTTGGAGAGATGGACTCTCAAATGCAGGCAGTAAGACCTCTGAATTCAGAGAAGGGGAAACCAGGACTGGGGTGCCTGACAATGGTAGGGAAGGGTGGAGCCAGAGAGTTGGCAGTGGAGGTTGGCAGACCTGGTATTTGCTCTGGTTCTGCTCTCACTCATTGTGACAAGTCATGGACCCCTGGGCATCGGCTTCCTGTCTGGATAAAAGCCATCGGTCATCCTGAGCTCATTTATTTTGGGTGCATGAGGGAGTCCCTGAGTCCTGAAGGTGTGCCTGCTGACCTCCCTATGATTGGGCTCTGGGACCTGAGCCCACAGGTTATTTGTGTCTTTCCAGGGGACAGATAACACCATGCTGCAAAAACTGAACAGTGTCCATGCCAAAAACAAGGTCTTCTTACAGCCCAAGAACATCCACGATTCCAGATTTGGCATTGCCCACTTTGCTGGTGAGGTGTACTACCAGGTAGAAGGTAGGCGTAGCTCCTCACTATACCCCCTTCCTCCCAACTTGGATCAGGTTCCAAAATGGCCACAGTAAGGAGGCTGGGATGGTTAGGTCATCTTGCAGAGCTAACAATGGGAAAGAGGGAATCGAATAGATCAGGAATGTTTGTTTTGTTTGTAATAATTCAATTGAGATAATTCACATACCATGCAATTCACCCACTTTAAGTATACATGTCAATGGTTTTTAGTATATTCAGCAAGTTATATAACTGTTGCCACAATTTAAAGCATTTTCTTCACCCCCAAAAGAGACCTCCCATTAGCATTTATTCCTCATTTCCCCCTAACCCTTCCCACCCTCTGACAACCAGTCTATTCTCTCTCTATGGATTTGCCTATTCTGTACATTTCAGATAAATGGAGACGCACAGTGCATGGTCTTTTGACTGGCTTCTTTTATTTAGCACCATGTATTCAAAGTTTATTTAGGTTGTACCATATGTCAGGACTTCATTTCTTTATATTGAAACATAATATTCTACTGTGTAAGTATATTTTGTTTATTCCTTCATCAGTTGATGGATATTTGAATTGCTTCTACTTTATGAATACTGTGAATAATGTGTGTCTTTTCACTTCTTTGGAGTATATACCTATGAGAGGAATTACTGGCTCGTATGGTTTAACCTTTTGAGGAACCACCAAACTGTTTTCTATAATGGCTATACCATTTTACATTCCCACCACCAATGTATAAAGGTTCCAATTTCTCCAGATCCTCACCAACACGTTGTCTGCCTTTTTTATTATAACCATCCTAGTGAGTTTAAGGTAGTGTATCAATATGGTTTTGATTTGTGTTTCTCTGATGCCCATCAATGTTGAGTATCTTTTCATGTGCTTATTGGCTATCTGTATATCATCTTTGAAGAAATGTCTATTCATATCTTTAGCCCATATTTTAACTGAGTTGTCTTCTTATTGTTGAGTTATAAGACTTTTTAATGGATTCTGAATATAAGTACCTTAACAGATATATAATTTGTAAATATTTTTCTATGTGTTATCTTGATAGTGTTTTTGAAGCACAGAGGGTTGATTTTAAAAAGTCCAACTTGCTTATTTTTTGCTTTTTCTCATGCTTTTGGTGTCATGACTTAGAAATCATTGTCCGACCCAAGATTTACCCCTATATTTTCTTCTAAGAGTTTTCTAGTTTTAGCTTTTACATTTAGGTGTTTGATCCATTTTTAGCTCATTTTTGTATATGTTGAAATACAGTTGGGCACGATTTTGACTTAAGAAACAAGGGCCTGGCGTGCTTAGAAGAGTGAGAAAGTGGCCATTATGCAACTGTAGTCAAAAAAACAGGCCAGCAATAGTGTCACTCTGTGACTCATATGGTCTGTGTAAATGGAGACTCACAGTTACACTGCTCAGTTGGAGACGTAGGCAGCACACTCTCACTCTCATCACACCCAGCTCTGTGAGGGCTTTGCTCACCTCCAGAGCTCCTGCTGCAGTACCCTTACTCTCCTGGGCTCCCATCCTGTCTTCCATCTTTAACTCAGTTTCTGCAGGCATCACACCAGGCTGTGCAGGTATATGCAGTGCACCCCAGTAAAAAGTGGGGTGACTTAAAAGTGGGAAAAGAAAGTTGGGGTCATGCTCATGCAGAAGTCAATCCTCCCAGTCTCAGGAGTATGGCCCTTCAGATGATGCCAGGCCCTCATCTGGCTTGGCTTGGAGAAGCAATCTCTTCAGCTACTTCTCAGTGGGATTCTGTGCCCAACTTCAGAGTGAGTCCATTCTTGCCATGATGAGAGTGGAGGGGTGATTTCTTCTCTCCTGCTATGCTAGTTGCCTTGGGCTGCCATAGCAAAGTTCCACAGATGGGTACAAAAGTTTATGTCTTCACAATCTGGAGGCTGGACATCCAACACTAAGGTACAGGAGGGTAGGCTCCTTCTGAGTCCTTTTTCCTTGTAGATAGAATCTACTTGTAGCATCTATTTGTATCTGTATGTGCCTGTGTCTAATCTCCTGTTCTCGTAGGATACCAGTCTTATGGATTAGGATGCACTGTTTATCTTAATCACCTCTTTAATGGCTGTATCTCCAAATACAGTCATATTCTGAGGTACTGAAGGTTGGAACTTCAGCATATGAGTTTTGGGGAGGCAAAACTCAGCTCATAACATTGCTCCTCCCCAACATCTGGAGGCTCAGTCTTTAGGCCCCTGCCCCTAGCAGGACCTTCCAGGATCTTCAGAATAGGGCTGGTGGAGGGGCTTTGGAGCTACTAGGCTCTCCTTAGTTACACATGTGCTTGCTTCCTGAACATGTCAAAATACATACATGCTCCCTCACCTACATGTTCACACATACACACATGTCCACACATGTGCACCATACTTCTTGAAAACACACATTCATTTCCAAGACCTGTGCAGTTTAAATTCACAATGAAGAAGGAAATAACTTCCAAGAAGCTCATAATCATTAAGTCACCTGGATATGCTTGGAACCAGTAAGCCAAGCACTGTTTAATTTCTTTCCTTCTTCCATTTTGAGCTTCCAGAAAAAGCACAGTAGCTAGCACCCTCTCACTAGTTTCACAAGGGATTTGGAAGCAGTTGCTCTTGTACAGACTGGCCAGCTTGGGGAGGCTAGACATACAGACTTTCTTAGAATTGCCTCTGGCCTCGGGGGTGATGGCAGAAGTGGTCATGCCTTCCTCCCCAGACTGTAAGCTCCCTGGACAAGACCAGACAGCCAGATTTTCAAGAATTGGTGGAGGCAGTTATGGGAGGAGGGAGGTTTTCTTCACTTCTTTCTTTTCCTTTTCTTTTTTTAGCTCCTTTATGTAAATAAGCGGTGATCTGAGTCACACTTGCCCAAGGTCACCCAGAAATTTTGTGGGTCAGAGCCCTGATACAAGCCCTGAGGCCTCTCACTATGGTAAATCTAAACTACAGGGTGTGTGGACCTCACTGTGGCCAGTGGTCGGTACCTGGAGTATTGGCATTTAGGTGATGGCTGTGACTGGGGAGAGGTAAAAGGAATTGGACTCTCTGCTGTCTGTGGTACCCACAGGCCTATGCCCAGGGAGTGCTGTTGCTGGTGGAAGAGGTGTCAAGTCCTTGGACCAGTCCTGAACTGAGCGAAGGGCCAAGAGAAAGTATGTCCAGGGGGAAGCAAGAGGAGGGCCTCACTTCACCTGTGGGCCAGGAGAGCCACCTGGAACAAATGATGCTTGATCTGGTCTTGAAAATGACTAGGCATAGGCCTGAGTGGTTTGAGAGGAAATAGCATTCCCAGAACAGCTTGTGGAGGCCAGAGGCACAGGAGAATGGAGAACTTCTGGGGGTGACTGGGCTCCAGGGGAGTACAGGGCCCTGGCACCCACAGAAGATGAGAAAGGAAGGCATGAGGAAGATGTACAATGGTGGCAGAGGAGCAGAGAAAAGGGTCAAGTTGAGATGACATGGCAACGTGTGGTTTTAGGTATACTGGAGAATGTATGGGACATAGAGAAACTGAGTAAGCAGGGAAGGGATAGGAGGCCATCAGATGAGTTCAGACAGAAGGAATGGTAGCATTAGCTAAGGGGCTATGGTGGGGATGGTGAGTTTGGGGATTGATGAGTTTATTGGTTTGTTTGATCTGACTTTGTGCTGGGTGCACACAGTGGGTGCCATGCCTACAGAGGTGCCATGCCATGTCTCTATTGGCTATAGGTGGAGGGAGAGATGGAGAGGGTGTGTTCAAAGGGGGCTCCTAGAGCCTCCTGATATGACCAGTGTCTCCACCCAGAGCCTCTCCTTTCCCCATAGGTCACAGTAAAAACTGAGTTTGCCTGGCAGGGGGTCTCTTCTCTCTTAACAGGCTTCTTGGAGAAGAATCGAGATGTGCTGAGCGCAGATATCCTCACCCTGGTCCACTCCTCCCAAAACAAGTTCCTGAGGGAAATCTTCAAGCTGGAATCAGCAGCAATCAAGCTGGGCCACGGAACCATCCGGGGGAAGACAAGGAGCCAGTTCTTCAAGGTGGGTCCTATGCTTGTCTCTTTCAGTGCTACTCTATCCTTAGGACCTCTAAGGTTACACGTGTCTGTGTAGAGAGAACCTATTGCCTGGGGTCTAGGTTTCTCAGTCTAGATGCAGAAGTGAGTGAAAACTTGGGTATGGGTGAGGGGACAGGTACATACAAATGTGCCTGCTTCTGAGTGTGTGGCAATCGTGCCAGAGTACATCTGCTTTTGTTAATAGTGTTTTGTGTCTAGATTGGTTTCTCTGTGTGTGTGTATTCTGACTGCTCTATGTGTGCATGGTTTTGTGTGGTGTCTGTGGTATATGTATGTGTGTGTGTTTGTGGTATGTGTGGTGCCTGGTGTATGTGGTGTGACTGTGGGTAATGATGTATGTGTGTGGTATGTGTGTGTTTGTGGAATATGGGCATGTGTATGGTATGTGTGTATATTTTGAGTGGTATGTGGTATATCATATGGCCTATGTGTGTGTGCATGTGGTATGTGTATGGTATCTGTGGTGTGTCTGACTGATAAGTGAGTGTTGTGTTTTATGTGATATATGTGGTATGTGTGGTGTGTGATGTTTCTGCATATTAAATGTGTTTTATGGTGTGTGTGGTATATGTATGTGATATATGTGTGTTTTGTGGGTTGTATGTGTGGTGTATGTGTATGGTGCAGGTGTGTGTGCATGTTGTAAGCATATGGTATCTGTGGTATGGCTGTGGTTTGTGTGGTATGTGTGTATTATTAAAATATGTGTTTTGTGGTGTCTGTCTACCCACTGACCCCACCCTACAACACCCCCTCTCATGCCTTAACCCCTTAATTGTGACTGTCTCAGAAAAGCCATGTAAAGCCTTGGCTGGTGTAGCTCAGTGGATTGAGCACGGGCCTGCGAACCAGACAATCGCGGTTCGATTCCCAGTCAGGGCACATACTGGGGTTGCAGGCCAGTTCCCTGCAGGCCAGTTCCCAGCAGGGGACGCATGAAAGGCAACCACACATTGATGTTTCTCTCCCTCTCTCCTTCCCTTCCCCTCTAAAAGATAAATAAATAAAATCTTTAAAAAAAAAAAAGAAAAGCCATGTAAAGCTTCCGATGAGGAGCCTCACCCCCACCCTCAGGAGGCTGAGCAAACTGAATGGCCGAGGAATTGAAAAAGCAGACAAAGGGTCCCCTTCTCTCCATGCCAAGAATCCAGCACTCACCACACTGAAGTGCCCTTGGCATTTTATCACTCTCCCTCCACCTCTGCAGGATCTCCTCAAGCCTCCAAGCCCATGGCCTTGTGTAGTGCAGGCCCAGGGAGGCACTCAGAAGCCTTGAAGCTATGTAGGAATTACCCAGGTCTGGAACCAGGTCGAATCATGCTAGACTCTCTCTCCATAGCTGAGGCCAGAGCACAGTCTCATCCTGGCCCTGCAGATCTCCAGAACATGACATGGAAGTTTCAGGGAACAGAATGGTAGTGGAGAAAAAAATACACATTGTTTTGCATACCAGGACAAGAAAAAAAGCTGCCCATTGTTATTAAAAAGCCCAGTGATTCTATCCTCTGGTCAGAGATGTTAAGGTGTAAAGACTTGTGTCTCCAAACTGATTCATTCTGGCAGCACACAACCTTGCTCAGGTACATTTGACCATGGAAAGGTTTGATCAAGGAACATTGCTCAAGATTAGCATCAGACAAAATACACACTGCTCATGGTGAGGGGCTTGAGCTTTTCTCCCTCCTCTTGCCTTCATAAGTTAACACATTTGTTTTAGAATGATATAAATTTACTATAATGTATACAATGCATTGTATAAAACATTTAAAAATATAAAATCTAGATAAAAACTGAAAATGTAGAAGGGAGAGATAAAAAGTGAGTGTTCCCAGTTCTAACATTCTTTTCTCACCCTGTTACATCATCTTGTGCATCTCACTTGGTTGATCCCAACTCTAAACAAGAGGCATTTGCCCCATCTTACTCCCTTCTGGGTCTTCAGTATCCAACTGGGGTCCTGAAAACAATAAGCATTTGGGAAACCTGCAATGGATAAATGAATGCAGCCCTCCTGAAACTGGAAAAGTCAGTGTTCGTTTTGCTTGTCACTACCAGAACCAATAAGTAGAGACAAGGATTGAATCTTTATGGGTGCTTTGTTCAGATTCTGATGTCTGAGAAGGCAGCGGGGTTAGGTACACTAAAATCCATCTTAACATCTTTTCTCAAGCTGACCTTTTCAAAAAAACATTTTTATAATTTTATTCATTTATTTTTAGAGAGGGGAAGGGAGGGAGGAGAGAGGGAGAGAAACATCAATGTGTGGTTGCCTCTTGGGGATGCCACCCACTGGGGATGTGGCCCGCAATGCATGCATTTACCCTAGACTGGGAATCAAACCAGTGACCCTTTGGCTCACAGGCCAGCACTCAATCCACTGAGCCACACCAGCCAGGGCATCAAACTGACCTTTTTATAAGGAGAAGAAAAGAGTAGGTGAAGGGTTTAAAAATCAGGGAAAAGTTTAATCAGATAAAAGCTTCAGTGCAGTGATTTTCCTAGCATCCCTCCATCTGCTGACCAATAATTTTTTATAGTGTCCTGGTTGACAGATGTTCTTTCCCTAGAGCACAATGGCTCAAATACCATCTTGATTGCTGGCAGTCCTCCTGGGTAACAAAGGTTGAATTGCTTGCAGGCTTTCTAGAGTTAAAGTAGGTCCAGTCATACATTACAGATCCCAGAAGAACAGCTTTCTACATGAATTAATCACTAAACCTATTAACTATAACTAAAGTTAAACTTTTTAACTTAAATTCCCCCATCACTCCTACCTGTGGGACCTTGGCAGAAGCCCTCACTGTGCTATAGGTCAGCTGTGCCCCAGGTGGTACTCCCCAAAACCTCACTTGGACTCTGCTTCTGCCCACAGTCTACAGATGCTGGCAGGCAGCCTGCCACCTTGGCAAGCCAGTTTAAGCAGTCCCTGGACCAGCTGATGAAAATCCTGACCAACTGTCAACCCTACTTCATCCGCTGCATCAAACCCAATGAATACAAGAAGCCGCTGGTAATGAGGGGAGGCTGGACACACAGGGAGGGAGGGGGCAGCTATCGTATGAGTCTGATGGCACCTAGGGCCCTGTTATTCCCTTCACCGGGGCCTGGAAAACATTAGGACTGTTCTCTGTCCCCATTTTATAAGTGGGACACTGAGGTGACCATTCCAGGCCATTCTCAGGTCAGTGACCTGCAGTGCTTAGATCACTCAGACCTCAGTCATCTTCAGCCCTGTAATTTGCCTGCTTGTGCACCTGGCCAGGTGCTACCCTTTTCAGAGCCAGTTATCTCTTCTGTAAAGTTAGACCAGCATCTGCCTGCAAGGGGCAGTGAGGACTGTACTTGATGTTTCTGGTACATCTGCATATGTAAACCACACTCAGTAAGGACCACAACAAGTACTATGATTTTAGAGGCTGATGACCACTCCGGTTGCCCTTGGGGAGTGACTTTATCTACTTCTGTGTGGTGTAGGGTAAGAGCCTGCCACTTGTCCAGGAGCCCTTGACCATGGACTTGGGAATCCCACCCAGTGGCTGCAAATACAGGACTCCCAAAATAGGGAGATGTCATCCAAAAAGATCTTGTAAAGGAAAAAACTATCTTATTAAATCTTATAAGGGAAATCTTATCTTATCTTATAAGGGAAATTTTACAATATAAGGTAAAAACCTTGTAAGGGAAAAATATATTAAGTAAAGTAACTTTTTTTAAAAAAGAAAGTTATATGAAAGTGAGGCTGTCCCAGGTATTCCAGCATGTATCTTCCTGATAGGCACAGTACTCAGTTGTTAGGTAAGAATGGTACTCCCAGAGGCCTTCTGCCCACACCCTCACTCCCTACCTCAGCCATGGAACTGCTGGACAGGGCCTGAGGCTACCGCTTAGGGCCTCACAGATGGTAGCTGTTGTATGGATGCCCAGCTGAGGGGCCAGGCAGACTCGGGTTTGAAACCTACTTCAGCCACTTAGGAGTGTGTCCCTGAGCCTTGGGTACCTCACATTTAAATTGGAACTAAGTATTCCAACATGTAGAGCTGTTGTAAAGATTAAATGAGAAATACGAAATACATGGGGACTAACTAATTGTCCCAGACTAATTGCTGTGTGGTCCTGGATCCCATGAGCAGTTGTCTCTGCTCATGGGACCCTCAGAGTTTCCAGGTAGGTACTTGCCTGCTGGTGGGCTTGCCAGATTTGAAGGTATCCCTCTAGTGCCTAGAGATTTCTGGCGGCTGGAAGGCTGAGGAGGGTCTCTAGTAGACCAAGCCACGCAAAGTCTCAGGGTGTCTCCTGAAAACCAAAACCCCTGTGCAAAGCATCAGGTGCACATTCCTCTCCTCACCACAGCTATCTCCCAGGCAGGGAGAGACTGAGCTGACCAGAGTATTTTCTAGTTCTGAGTAGGAAAAGTATTTCTTTCTACTGCCCGAATGTGAAAGGCCTGATATTTCTGGGAGCGCCTGTTTCAGGAGGTGGTGGTTTCTTTGGGATCACTGTTTTGAAACACTTAAAAGCATTTTAAATTGGGTCTATGCAGATCACTTTTATATTTGCAGTACTTTGCATATTCCGCGGAGGAAAGTATTCAGTGGTGCTGTGGATGTCACAGTTTCTGTTACCAACTTTTATCTCCTTAGAAACACTTTAAAGACTTTTCAGCAAGTTTGACCACGTATTTCTTCTCAAAAGGGAATTCTAATTAAACTGAGCCCTTGTCTAATTCTCCTGTTCCTGGGGTGGTCGCAGGGGTGGGCAGGACGGCTTGCTCAGCCCTGTCGCTCAGCCCTGCCCCTGCTCGCAGCTCTTCGACCGCGAGCTGTGCCTGCGGCAGCTGCGCTACTCTGGCATGTTGGAGACCGTGCGCATCCGCCAGGCGGGCTTCCCTCTGCGCTACACCTTCCAGCAGTTCTCCCAGAGGTTCCGAGTCCTGCTGCCCAGTGCCTTGTGCCAACAGGTGCGTACTCTGCGGCTAAACCGTTTTGGTCCGCTGGAGGTGCCGTGCACCTCGGGACTTTGCCGCCCATAAGTCCCCAATTCCAATAGGTCCCGGCAGCTGCTTTCCTGATGCCCAGGGCCCCTCCACTCCAAGCTTTCAAATGATCCTGCTTTTCCTGCCCTCCTCACCTCCTACCTTCCCCATCTGTCACCCCCACCCCCACCCACAACCCCGCAGTGCCCTAGAAGTGAGGAAGGGTTAGTTCACGCTGGGCTCTAGAAGGTGTTGGTGGCTGATATGGTCCTTCTATGAGTGTCTGCAGTTTAAAGCAAGCACTCTTTTATGTAGCATAACCTCTGGGAGATGATGTGGCTGAGTATGGTGAAGTCCTCCTTACTTTTCCTCAAACACTCAGATATCCTCAAGTTTGGGATGTCCAAGTGTCCTGCAGCCACATAGAGGCCCCAAGCCCTGAAATGTGTGGTTGCCTTATGATCGCAGAGCCTGAGTGCTCCCCTGGGCCCCACCCATGATCCCAAGGTACTTTGTGCCTGTGCCCTTGGCCCAGCATCCCCTGACCGTGAAGCCTGTAGAAGGAAGACTAAGATCTCTAGAAAGTCCTTGAGAAGGGATCTTAGCCTCGTACCTTGGGGTCCCTGTTCTAGTTCCACCCAACCAATCCTGTTTCTGCTTGGCAGCTTCAGGATAAGTTTCGACAGATGACACTGTGCATTGCTGAAATGTGGTTGGGAGCAGACACAGACTGGAAAGTGGGAAAAACCAAAATTTTCCTGAAGGTGAGGCCTTGAACTTGGAGGTCTCAGCCTCCTGAAGCATGTGGGGGCTGGTCTGGACCCACCAGGAGGTACTGGTTCTCTCACCTTGCTCTGCATGTGGCCCCCACCCTGAGTTACCCTGTTGCTATAGAAAGCAGTGGTGAGGATAAGAGAAGTGAGGTGGGGTGGGGGGAGTGTAGCAACATGGGGAGAGCCCAGGTCATCCAGAAGAAATTAAGAAGGCTTCTCAGAGGGGACATCCATGGCAAGACCTGAGCATAAGGAAGAGCTGCCTTCAAGCTACTGGGCAGAGTAAGAAGGCCTGAGGGCAGGCTCACACTGCCTTCAGAACAGGCCTTCACCATACATGAGTCACTATCAATGAGCTTTGTCTGGCCTGGGGAAGCTCTGCCTCTAGAGAGCCCCAAAGAGCTGCTCTTCAGTGTGTTGACACCCCCCCCCCATGAGAGTTTGTCCTTAGGCAGTCATAGGTAGGCAGCACCACCACCCACATACCTCCTCTCAACTTACTGAGATGCCTAAGGTCACACAGATGCAGCCTCATGGCTCTACTAGCCTTCAAACCCTCTAGGATTGCCAGTTGGGTCAAAGAGCCACTGGGGAGAAAACCTCTCAGTCCCCTATCCTTGTAATCCCTGGATGGGTGGGCAAATTGAGGAGGAGGAGAGGAAGTGAAGAGGAGGAGAAGCTCAGAATAGGAGGATGTTCTGCAGCCATCCAAGAATCCCTCTCATCCCTACCACCCTTTCCTGCATCCTATTGCCTCCCTTTCACCCATAGAGCCCTCCCTCATCCATCCCCAGAGGCAACTTCTGACCCCACCCCCTAGCCAGTCCATTCACTAGTAAGGCCTGTGTCTAAGCTTCAGACTTAGACATGAAGAAAGAAGCAGAGTAGCTTCTTATTCCATGGAGAAGGTGAAGCTGGCAGAAGGAAGCCTTCTTCTCAGGAGGGTGCGACACAGTATTATAGAGGGATATATAGTGTGGGTGGATGGTCAAAGAGGAGAGTGACTACCTCTTCCTTCTCCTTCTTCCCTGGTTACTCCTTGAGGACAGTCAAGGTCTAGTTCATCTCCGTGTCCCCAGTCCTCACCCAGGCACATCAAGAGGTTCAATGCTTGTTTAATGCAAAGCTGATGAAGGAAGGAAGGGCGGGCCTCCAAGTCCTGCCCTCTCCTCACGAGTTGCCAAAGGCTGTGCTGCTCTCTGTTCTACAAAGACAGTCCATGGGCTGTCTTCCAGGGGTAAGGATGGCAAGCCTCGGGCACAGGAATCAGGGAAGCACTACAGTGAGCCAGGGAAAGTCACAGCCCAGGGATGAATCTCACACTATGAATTCTATTCAAAGGCTGAAGGGAACATTTTCCTACTGAAACACACATAAATCTGTAATACATTTGAATGCACATTTCATGTGAATTTGGGGAACTAAAACAACTTCATAGAAATTTTTGCTCCCATCTTGGGTTTTCCAGAACAGAAATGAAATTTGCCAGATTGAATTAATGAGAAGAGCTAAAATGGGAAGTTCTTGGATTGGGGCTAGAGGTTTATAGTTGTAACTCTCATTTCTGAGCCATATTAGACTGAACTTGAAGGCCCCTTTTCCTGCTTGGCCTCTCAGGAGCACATGTGGGAAAAGTCTGAGAAGTCTAACTTCTAGAGACAGCGCTCTGGCCTCAGGTGGAGGTGTGGGGTGAAGGGTAGCAGCCATATGATGAGCTCTCTCCTGTTTCAGGATAACCAGAGTACTCTGCTGGAGGTACAGAGGAGCCAGGCCCTGGAAAAAGCAGCAATTAGCATCCAAAGAGTCCTGCGGGGCTACAGATACAGGTGCTAGCCCTGCTCCTACCCCCTCTCAGCCCACATACCTATCCATCATGTGCCCTGGGAGGGTGCCCACATACAGGTATTAGCCCCCAAACCAGGAACACGTGTCCCCACTGGTCCCTCCCTGGGGGTAAATGAGGCGCGAGATCTCTCATGACCTCCTGACCAGGAACACTGCAGCCTCTGTTGGTCAGAGAATTTCTAATATGTTATTTGAATGTTTGTTGCAGGGAGGGGAGTGGGAATCCACTACATAAGCAAGAGTCAAAAGGAGTGTCAGCTCTGGTCTCTATATTTTGATGTTATCCTTTAATTGTCTTAGAGAATGTGTGGGTTTGGGTTTATGAGACAGTCGACTTTTGGAGGGAAGAAAAAAACTGTCTTTGACTCAGTTACCTGGTGAGCAAGAAGGTAACATTTGAATTTCAGTTTGGGTTCAGCACATCAGCAATATTACCACCTTTCTTACCCTCACCATGTCCAGAGGGTTCTACAGGTCCATAGACCTGTTTCCTGTACTATTCTGTCTGCTTATCACTAACCATAAGAAGGACTGGAAACTCAGACATGAGAAGGTGGAGAAAGCAGCTGACCCATGAGAAAAGAGGCTGTAGGCACATTTGGGTTAGGTCATAAGGCTGGGATGTGTGGCTTGGAAGGTCAGACCATGGTAACACTGATCTCAGCAGCAGCCGGCATCAGGCCCAGCAGTTGCCAACCAATGGTCACTGGTGCTAATTCAATGCCAACAGGAATTCCTAATTTGAGGTGTGATTTAAAAAAAAAACAACTGTATTCAGTGCAAAGAGCTTGACTGTGATACAACACAGTTCAACAGTGTTACAGCTCAATTATGAAACAGCGTGGCTGTGGAACAGCATGGCTCTGAGGCAGCTTTAGGGTGAGCCCCTCTCTGGGTAGACACCTTTGCTCTGCTCTGTTCCAGTAAAAATGCAATCTTCAGTTTTGGTACAAAGAGGAAGTGCATTCTCCCAACCAGAGGAGAACTGGCTTATATAGAGAGAAGACCCCACCCTGTAACTCCTGACTGGTCTCTCCACATGCAAATGAGGACTCCAAATCCTCCTAGATTTGTTGAAAAAGCACTGTCCTGATTGGTCAGTAGGTAGCCACTCTAATTGGTTAGTGAAGAAGCTAATGAGGAAATAGCTGTGCAGCTCTTACTGGGCCAGGAATGTTAGTTGAAGTACAATTCCAAGAACTACTTTATGATGGCTGGCTTAACCAGCAGGAATACAGTGCAGGCAGGCAGCTCAGTGTAGGCTTCTCCCTGAAGTGTGGCTTACATGAGAGGCTCCTGTTTAGCAATGACTGTTAGATTCTGTTTATAAATTTGAGCCCAGTTGGCCACCAGGAGCCATTCTCAATAGGTAGTTTCATTCTTGGGGTCAATGACGTGATGCATGGGTTGCCTCCCCAGAATAGTCAGAGACAGTCAGGGGTAGCCACCCTCACTGCTGATTCATTCTTTTACTTTAATAATTTTTAAATATTCATTTACACTTGATGCACAATATTATATTAGTATCATGTATACAACTCACTGCTTATAACTTACAAAGTGATCATCCAAATAAACCTAGTATCCATCTGACACCATACATAATTATTATAATATTATTGACAATATTCCTTATGCTGTGCTTTACATCCCCATGACTTTTCTGTAACTATCATCCCTTATCCCTGCTCCCATCTGGCAATTGTCAAAATGTTCTTTGTATCTATGAGCCTATGTTCTGCTTGTTCATTTATTTTGTTTTTAGATTTCACAAATAATTGAAATCACATGGCATTTGTCTTCCCCTGTCTGACTTAATTTACTCAGCACAATATTCTCTGGGTCCATCCATGTTGTTACAGATGGCAGGATTTCATTCTTTTTTTATGACTGAGTCATATTCCATTGTATAAATGCACTATTTCTTCTTTATCCATTGATCTATTGATGGACATTTAGGTTGCTTCCACTGCTTGGCTATTGTAAATAATGCTGCAACAAATATCTGAATGTATATGTCTTTTTGATTTAGTGTTTTGGGTTTCTTCAGATAAATACTCAGAAGTAAAATTGCTGGGCCCTTCTTTGTCCCTTGTTTGTCTCTTGCTATAGCATTTAATTTCAAGTCTATTTTGTCTGGGGTGACTATTGTACACCAGCTTTTTGTTGGCTTGTTTCCATGCTCATGAAATATCTTTTTCCATCCTTTTATTTTTATTCTGTGTGCATTCTCCAATCTGAAGTGGGCCTTTGTAGACAGTATATTTAATAGACTTGTTTTGTTAAATGGACAATTTAATCCACTTGCATTTAAAACAGTTGTTGATAAATATGTATTTATGCCATTTTAGTTTTCCTAGTTTTGATGGGTTTTTTTTCTTCTTCTTAACAAAGATCCTTTAACATTTTATGTAATACTTACTTGGTGCTGATGAACTCCTTAATCTCTTTTGGAGGTTTGGACAGCTTTATAAGAATCCTTTGAATTTAAATGATAGCCTTGCTAGGTAGAGTAATCTTGGTTGTAGTTCCTATTTTATCATCACGTTGAATATTTCTTGCTAATCCTTTCTAGCCTACAAAGTTTCTGTTGAGGAATCATCTGACAGTCTTATGGGAGTTCCCTTGTAGGTAACTAACTGCTTTTCTCTTGTTGCTTTTAAGATTCTTTCTGTCTTTAACTTTTGGCGTTTTAATTATGAAGTGTTTTTGTGTGAGTCTCTTTTGGTTCATCTTTTTGGGGACTCTCTGTGCTTCCTGGACTTGTGTGTTTATTTCTTTCATCAGATTAGGGAAGTTTCCATCATTATTTTTTAGAATAGGTTTTCACTTTCTTACTCTCTCTTCTCCTTCCAGCACCCCCATGATGTGAATATTGGTAGGCTTGAATTTGCCCTAAAGGCTCCTTATACTATGCTCTTTTTAATTTTTTTTCTTTTTGCTGTTCTGATTGGGTGTTCTCTACTTCCTTATCTCCCAAACTGCTTATTTGATTCTCTACTTCATCTATTCTACCACTGATTCTCTGAAATGCATTTCTTAATTTAGTTATTGTATTTTTCACTTTTGACTGGTTCATTTTTTATGTTTTCTACAATATCTTCATTTTTATGTTTTCTATCTTTTTACTGAAATTCTTATTAAGTTCATCTACTCTACCCTTAAGTTCACTATCCTTTTTTTTTATTTGAAAAAAGGTTTTTCCTTTTTATTATTTTTTAAATTTTATTTAGTTATTTTTCAAGTACAGTTTTTTGTCTATTTCTCCCATCCCAGCCCCTCCTGCCCCGTCTTCCCCCCTCCCTCCCATTTCCTCACCCCTAGTCCTCATCCCTTTGTCTTTCATATTTGTTCCTCAAAATCCTTCCCCTTTTTCCCACTTAAATTCCCTTCCCTCTCCCCTCTGGTCACTGTCCCCTTGTTCTCTATTTCAGTGTCTTTGTTTATTTTGTTTGCTTGTTTGTTTTGTTGTTCAGCTTCCTGTTAAAGGTGAGATCATATGGTATTTGTCTTTCAATGCCTGGCCTATTTCACTCAGCATAATGCTTCCCAGTTCCATCCAGGTTGTTCCAAAGGGTAGTAGCTCCTTCTTTCTCTCTGCTGCATAGAATTCCATTGTGTATATGTACCACACAGTTTTTTGATCCATTCATTTACTGATGGGCACCTAGGTTGCTCCCAACTCTTGGCTATTGTAAATTGTGCTGCTGTGAACATTGTGGTGCATAGGTTCTTTGAAATTGATGTTTTAGGATTCTTGGGATATAATCCTAGCAGTGGAATTGCTGGGTCAAATGGTAGGTCGATTTTTATTTTTCTGAGAAAATTCCATACTGTTTTCCATAATGGTTGCACCACTCTGCAATCCCACCAACAGTGAACTAAGGACCTCTTTTCCCCACAACCTCTCCAACATTTGTTGTTTGTTGCTTTGTTTATGATAGCCATCCTGACTGGTGTAAAGTGGTATCTCATTGTGGTTTTAATTTGCATCTCTCTGACAGCTAACAATATTGAGCATCTCTTCATGTGTCTCTGGATATTCTGTATGTCCTCCTTGGAAAAGTGTCTGTTCAAGTCCTTTTCCCATTTTTTAATTGGGTTAGGTGTCTTCTTAGAGTGGAGTCGTGTAAGTTCTTTGTATATTTTGGAGATTAAACCTTTGTCTGAGGTATCATTGGCAAATATGTTTTCCCATACAGTTGGTTGTCTTTTTAATTTAATACTGTTTTCTTTAGCCATGCAGAAGCTTTTTATTTTGATGAGATCCCATTTGTTTATTCTTTCCTTTATATTCCTTGCTCTAGGGGACATATCGGTAAAAATGTTGCTGCGTGGAATATCTGACATTTTCTTGCCAATGTTCTCCTCTAGGACTTTAATGGTGTCACGGCTTATATTTAAGTCTTTTATCCACCTTGAATTTATTTTGGTGTATGGTGTAAGTTGGTGCTCAAGTTTCATTTTTTTGCATGTAGCTGTCCAGTTCTCCTAACACCATTTGTTGGAGTGGCTATCTTTACTCCATTTTATGTTACTGCCCCCCTTGTCGAATATTAATTGACTGTAGAGAGTTGGGTTGATTTCTGGGCTCTCTGTTTTGTTCCATTGGTCTATGTGCCTGTTTTTATGCCAGTACCAGGCTCTTTTGATTACAGTGGCCTTGTAATACAGTTTGATATCAGGTATTGTGATCCCTCCTACTTTGTTCTTCTTTCTCAAAATTGCAGCTGCTATTCAGGGTCGTTTATGGTTCCATATAAATTTTTGAAGTGTTTGTTCTATGTCTGTGAAATATGCCATTGGTACTTTAATAGGTATTGCATTGAATCTGTATATTGCTTTGGGTAGTATGGACATTTTGATGATGTTAATTCTTCCAATCCATGAACAAGGTATATGTTTCCATTTATTTGTGCCTTCCCTGATTTCTTTCTTCAGTGCTGTGTAGTTTTCTGCTTACAGGCCTTTTACCTCCTTG